TAGTGGAGATGATACAATAAACTGGTGTTATGAGTCTATAGATTTTCCTTGGTTTTTGGGTTTTTTTCATTTTGGAACCGCTGCAGGAGCCGTGCTGGAGAGAGGGACTGAAGGAATCCGCCTGGAAACTCCAATGGGAACGTCAAATAACGAGGGGGGGAATTACTAATTCAGCTGGGAGGCTCAAATGCTGCCTGAAAAGGGCAGGTGATTTTCTGGCCACCTGTTTTGGGCCGTTAAAATCGGATTTCAGGAGTCTTCGGAGGCTTTCAGAACCAGGACTGCTTTAAAGGAGCTGTAATTCCATGAGAAACGAGCGACTTCTGCTTTAATTTTGGCTTCTAGGGACCAGATATCATCCATCAAGCTGTGAAACTAAAATCTCCTCCACTAAAAAAAATGGGTTTAGGGTACTTAGTTTTTAGACTAATATTTCATTGATATATTTCTACTTCTTCCATTGTATGCTGAGCATATAAATAACCGTCTATTTTATGGGAACTCGTGCCTTTAAAAGCCTTTGTAAATCTAAACCCACCTTTCAGAGGTTATTCATCTTTTTACCTTTTCTACGTTTCCTACTCTTTTTTCTAAAAAATATTTTTTTGCATATTTCCTTTGGTGGCGGGGGAGGGAGGGACACGCTGGGCTGGGGGAAAAGACAAAAAAAGCTCATTTTTATGCAATCTATTTTTCTGTATAAAGTTTGAAAGACTTTTGGTTGTTACTGATCTGTTCTCTTCACTCGCTTCTGACTAAGCAATGCTAACTTTTGTACAGATCCATTTGATAAAATTAAAAAGTGCTTTTTATCAAGGATGTGTTCTGTTTTCTTTCTGCTTGAGCCTATTTTCTGTGCTGGGAAAAAAACCTGGGAAACCAGCTTGGAAGGCGATGGAATCTTCAAAATAAAATATTTTCATCAAGGATTTATTTCTCTTTCAGTCTGGATTTTTTTTTTCCCTCGCTCCTTTCCCCTGCGCTTTTTGTGTTTCTCTGAGGTTTTTTTTTTGTTTTGAAATACAGATAAATTAATTTGATTTTTCCTTTAAGAAGGGCACTTCCATGCCCGTAATCCTGAGGATTTCAGAGGATTTCAGACTGCAAGGTTTTAGCCCCGGCTGATTTTCCTCCTGTAGGGAATTTACAGGAAGAAATTCCCTTTTCTGCTTGGTGAGCCCTGGTAAATAAATCCCTCTGAGTTAGGAGAGCGACCAAATTACAAGTTGTACTCCAGGCTTGATGTATTTCTTTTTTCAACGATGTATTTCTTTTTTCAACGATGTATTTCTTTTTTTAACATTGTTACATCCGTAACTTTTATTTTCCTTTCTCACAGCAAACATTCCCTCCCTGTCCTGCTTTTTGTCTGCGAAGCGATCCCAACCTGGGGAGAGGGGAAAAAATTGGGATTGGGGAATTCCAGCTCAACCCGCTCGAGAGGAAAAGCTGGAAGGCGAAGGGGGAATGAATGTGATGACAATTAATGAAGCTGCAGCCCATTAAGGAGGGCTGGATTCGGTGTTTGCGGCCAAGAGGGGCTGGAAGGCGACACCATTTTCTCCGAGCTCCTTTCCAGAGCTCCTGGCAGGGGGATTTCATCCCAGCCCGAGCCAAAGTGCGCCGTCATTCCCTTCCCTTCCCTCGCTCTCCTCCTCCTCCCGTGACTCTGCACATTTCCCTCATTTCCATCCTGATCTGTGCCTGGAAAATGGATGAGTTTTTGGCTCTGCCCTCCAGGCTGGGACAGGGAAAAGGAAATGAAAGGTGAGGTCAGAACGGTTTTGGGGATGATCTTTGCTTTTTCTGCTGGATGTTGGGTGGCACAGCTTGGAGCGGCTTCGCTGGTGGCTGATAGAACAAAATTAAAATATCTGCGTGAGATGAAATGGTGAATCGCACAAACTAACGGTGTTAAAAATGGAAAATCAACCCAAAATATCAAAGGTTGCACTGAAGCATGCCTGGTTCCTGGGAGAGCACGGGGAAGGGGCTCTGTGCATCCCGGATGGATCCCTGCCTCCTTCCCTTCTTGTCCCAGCCAGGAGCTGCAGGATGA